TCCTTTCCACACTGCCCTAGTGCTTATGGGCCCTTTCTTTTTACTGTGTGAGTACCCCTCGGCCCTGCATTAGCAGTGTGTTGCCACAGGGGTTCCCCGTGTGGATATGCTGCACTGTCAGGTGAGATAAGTGAAAAGCAGCAGGCGGCCAGGGGCAGTGCTGTGGCTGTGTGTGTAAGAGCACTAAGAAGTCAGGAGCTTTGTGGTCCTGTGTCCTGTCCATCGTTTCTTCAGTGAATGATTTGTAACATGCTACCTGTATGCATTATAGGGTTTTGTTAATAGGTCTGAAGTATTTTTCTTCAATTGAAGTTAGTCTTATTTATGGGGGGAGGGAGAATGAAGTGTGTATACACAGTTCTCTTCTTATCCCTCCATTATCCATGGCTATGGCTCGTAAGTGTTTTTGGTAGCAAAAGGAGTAGCTGAGCTGCTGGAGGTGAGGGAAGGGACAACTCCTGCGTCACCAGGTCTGGAGGAAGTGCCTGCTCTGGGTGGGCTCACGCAGCTGGGGGTAACTCTGGGAGACGATGTGGAGCAGAGGAGAATCGCTCATGATTCTCCTGGGCACATCTTGTGGTTCTCATGTGGAAGCAGAGTGGAGGCTGTTAGGCCCTTCCCTTCCCAGGGGTTTCTTCTTTGGGAATTGAAGAAACTCTGCCTTTAACATGGGCAGAACAGGATGCTGTAACTGTCCTCAAGCTGGTGTAACTACTGAACATGCATGTAAGGTGTTGCAGGGATGACTTGCAGCTGAGCTCTTGGGGGTTACCATGCCCTGCTCCAGCTGGTTTTCACTGAGTGTTGGGCATGCTTGTCTGTAGAGGGGGATTTAACTCTTCATTTTATGTTCATTAAGTGTAAATGTTCCCAAGAGCAGCCTCTGTTTAGATCTGGGGAATCCAGACACCCCAAGCCTTGACGGAGCTCCATCAGACCTTTGTGAATGAGTGTGTCTTCTTAAATAAGCATATATTTTCCCTGGCATAAAGTATTGCCCCAGGTGGGAGCTGTGGCACGCTCCAGAATTACACAACTTGCTTACTCGGCCTTGTAAAGCTTTGGGAAATGCCTTTTTTGTTTATTTTACCATTAGAGTCTAGATGAAAAGGAAGCCTGAAGCAAAGATTCACAGGATTGTCATGACAGTGGGATGTGACGGTTAGCTATTTGGCGTGTTTTTTTTTTTTTTTTTTTTTTTTTT